AATAATAATAATTAAAAAAAAACATAATAAATGCGTGAAGTTGATAAAAAGGGAGTGATAAAAATGTGATGTTGTTTGAAATGAAGAAAAAAGAAACTGCTTCGTCGGTGGTCAGTTATATACATATATATATAATTATAGAATATATATATATATATTATAGTTGTTTGCTGGAGATACGATTGCACTGAGTTTCGCGAGCATCGAATGCGACCAAACGATCGCGGATGCGTGTCCTGATTCAACGAGGTAGGTTCGCGACAGTATCTGTTCCATGCCGACGCGTTCCTCGATTTCTCTTCCTGCTTCGAAGTATCTCTCATTGCTATATTCTTTCCTACTACTATTACTATTACTACTACTACCACTTCCATCATGTCTCATCAAGAGAGCGTCCAAGCTGATTTTTTTTTTTTAACGTTTCTAACAACTATCACAAATTACTATAACTAATTACTATTGTAGCTGCTGGTACTTCTACCAAATATTTTGATAATTATTATTACTATTATTATTATTATTATTGCAATTTAACTATTATTACTATTACTAAATAGAATTAGTACTATTACTGTTAATAAATATTATTGTTATTATTTTTACTAATAGCTATTAATATTATCGCGATTAATTATTAATACTATTACTAACCAGAATTAATACTATTATTGTTATTATATAAATATTATTATTATAATTATTATATTAACACTAGTACTACCATTAATTATTATTGCAACAAATATCTATAAAGTAATTATATATTACGTATAATTATTACTAGAAGTAATACATACTATAAGTAATTATTATTACAACTACTGTTACCTATTACTTCTTCCCAATTTATTATTTTTATATCAACTACTATTTTATATAATTATTTTGATGAAATGTAGATTCGAGAGGTTATAAAAGAACATGTTACAGATTCGACACAATCTTGTTGCATATAAATATAAGGATACAAAAAAAATTGCTCGAGGGCCTTCATCGTTTTGAAAGTCAAACGAAGCATGTTTCGATAAGTTCATTGAACTCTCTCTCTCTCTCTCTCTCTCTCTCTCTTTCTTTCTTTCTTTCTTTCTTTCTTTCTCTTTCTCCTTCTACCCTAACAAACCCGTTTTCGTGTCGGATTTTTAGTAGCTCACGTGTACGTACGTAACGTGTGTTTAACGTATCTTTCTCTTTTTTTTTCTTTTTTTCTTTCTTCCTTTTTCTTTTTCTTTCTATCTTTCTTCCTCATTCTCGACGAAGTTCCACTTGACTTTTCTCTTTACCTCCTTCGCAATACGTTGTCTCTGTCGTCGTAGTACATACATACGTACGTATATATGCCTTTTAAATTGACGGCCGACTTTATTATTATTAGGATTCACCACTAACGTTTACACGCACTTCTTCTATTCTCACAAAGTCTATCCTAGTACATAATGGTTGCCAATAAACGTTCTGTGCTAAATGAAACTACTACGACTACGCTTTCCAGTCTTCCTTCCATTCGTCTAAAAGAAAAAATCAATATTTGTGTGTGTGTGTGTGTATATATATATATATATATTTCATTTTAAATTACAATATAATTCCTATTTCAAATATAGACTATTAATTATTGTTTTTTCGCTTCAAACAAAAATTCCAAGATTATTTTATAAATATATATATATAATATTGTTAGGTTTGTTAGGAAATCCTATTAATTTTATCTTTTTTCTATGATAAATATGAACAAATTCGTTCATATTTAGAATTGAATACATTTTAACCCTTCTATATATAGAAATATATTTCGAGCGCTGGATATATGCAGTATCCATTCAACCAAATGCCCTTTATTTATTGTCATCTTCTTTAACTTGACCTAATAACTACTATATTATTCTTACATACAATATTTTAATTCGAAGTATTATTAAATATACAATTATCATATAACTATTTTCTTTAAATACAGATATAACTATATTTTTTCTACATTATTTCTACAATTTACAAAAAAGAAATAAAACTATTTCGTATATGTGCGTCGTAGAAAAAAAGAATTTTGAAACGTTCACGCCGTTACGATAACTGCTGCTGCTGGTATTGGTGGTTGGTTGGTTGGTTGGTTAGTTAGTTAGTTGGTTGGTTGGTTGGTTGGTTGGTTGGTTGGTTGGTTGGTTGGTTGGTTGGTTGGTTGGTTGGTTGGTTGGTTGGTTGGTTGGTTGGTT